AAAACAAAAACAAAAAACAAAAATACACATCCTATCACGATACTTAATAAGAAACTTAAAACTATGTAACAATATTATTTTAATGTCAAAATGGTGCCTTTTATTTTTGGCAAGATGGAATATTCCGGTCACCAAAAGTGACGTGATTGGTTGCATAACATGACATCCACATGGATATTTTGGAAGAAAAATGCTACATGTACATAATAAATGTACATAAAGACGTACATAACACTCACATGGATTGGGGGCCACTTAATTTTTTAATTTTAGTGGGTTACACTCAATGTGAGTGTTATGTATGCCTCTATGTACAACATTATGTACCTATAACATTACTCTTTTTGGAAATATTGTGATATGGAGTGCAATTTGCCAACAACAACAATACCCTTTCGAAGTAAATTAATTTAAGCATAATTTAAGCAATTCAATGTACAGGCTTTTTTTTTTTTTTTTTTACAATGAATGAGGCCGAGGCCTAGGAAAAACTACGTCAACACATGTCGTGGGTGTGCCACCCCTACCCTATCATGGTTCAGCCAGTGCCCAAGGTCCGGCGACGGAGCAAGAAGACGATGGTACCCACCCGAAACACCAGCAGCCAGCGACGCTAGCTTATTAGCCGAGAAATTCTCTTCCCTATAAATATGGGACACTCGGACACACCACTCTTTATTGATTAATTCACGAATATCACGTAGAAAAAAGGCAAAAAAAAAAAAAAATGATTTTCAATAAAGAATTGAAAAAAAATAAAGAATTACATAACCTATAATGACTAATAATATGTACTAGTACAATACTCGTGTATTACACGGGTGCTTGCTAATTTTTTTTCTTAAAATCTAAAATTAATGAGAAAAAGTAGTTAAAAATTTAAATACCCTTTACAAAAATATATATATTATTACTAGGAGGCTCTCGCCGTGCTCAGCACGGCCGGCCCACGTGATTTTTTTTTCAAGCTAGAATATTATTTTGTAATTGAACAACAATAAAAAAAACTGATACATGGAAACCATAAACACAATATGTCGCTAAATGTACCACATAAATTAGTGTCTAGAGCTATAAATACATAACTCATGTATCAAAGTAATCAAGAAAAGGTCAAGAATGGGGTAATAACTCAGTTATAAACATTTTAATTTTATTCTGGTTTTTAATTGTATCATCTCTAACAACTTTGACATAGTAGCATAAAATCAAAAACTACTCAGGTTTTAATAAGTTCATTTGATAGAGAAACCAGACTACTTGGATCAAGTTCGTCTACCCAATGGATATTATCCATCCGTTTTCTTCCTTCATCCAAGGGATTCCCTC